AAAAATAGTACTAGGTCTTATTTTGGGGTAGGTCTTAGCTGAGGCTCCCAGACCCGAATGGCATTCAGAAGCTCCCGAGTGCCATTCCGAAATTCAGATCCCGAATGCCATTGGGGTCCGGCAGCCTCAGCTTTAGTATTAATATCTGAATATATGTTTTTCTGTGTAAGTCGCAACTAATATTCATTAGACATGTGCGATTCGTTTCGTTCCGAATCGAAATTCGGACGAATTTTCGGAAATTCGGACATTCGGATGTATCCGAATTCCGAATTACAGACATAACGAATGCAAACGAATCCGAATTTCCGTTTCCAAAATTCGGTAGCGGTAGTTCGTTCGAACGTTCGTTTCGTTTTCGTTTCTTATTCGTTTCGTTCGTTGGAGCAAAGTGACATTAGAGAAGGAGAAAAACATTTTTCCCCCTCAAATGTCACTTTGCTGCAAACGAACGAACAAAACGAATAAGAAACGAAACCGAAACGAACGTTCGAACGAACTAACGCTACCGAATTTTGTCCGAATCCGAATTGACTTTCACACGCGAATCCCGAAAAACGAAATAACACAAATCCAAATTTATAACGAAACTAAACTAAACAAATTTTTTGGCAGTGCACATGTCTAATATTCATAAACTCTCCGAAACTACCGAAATTTGGATTCAGTCCGAATCCGAAACCTGAACCGAATTGGATTTCAGATCCGAAAACCCGAATTCTGAAATCACGGAATATCCGAATTTTTACTCAGCTTACACGGAGGACCAGCAAATGACTTTCCCTCTCTCCAGAAGGTTAGAGATACAAAGGAAACCCTCTTCCCAAAATGGAGGGATGCCAAAGAACCAGGACAAGCTCATAAGGGGTTGGCCAGTGAATAAAACAGAATAGAATCTCTGTATCCACTCTGACACAGGACTCTGGAACCTCCTCAACAGAAGGAGCGCTGAGTGATGTCATATTGGTCATCCCAGGGTGCAACGCTCTGCAAAAGAAACTATAAGCGTTAACGTAAAACAAAATGCAGCAAAGCTGTTAGGGATCAAATCCCTACATTGTGTTTAACAAAAATGACATCGCTATGCTAATACTTGGACATCGCTGGAATAAATACACAACACTGTCAGCCTAGGAATTTGTATCTCTGTCCTTCCAGTTTTTACACATCTCTGCCGCACAGCCAACCCGGTGACCTGACTTTTCTGTGCTGAACTTATGTGACACAGCTCGGTCACCTCCCCACCCCCAGCCTGTGATTGGACAATGACTAAAAAAAGCCTTCTCTCTGCTCCCTCCTCCTGTTAGCATATTCCTTGTCCACGTCACCTGATTGGCCGAAAGTACACACTGCAGTACAGGGGATTATAAGAGGGTGAAAATGAAATCAAATTTAGGTATTTTTTTTATTAGTTTTAATTATTTTTAGTATTTTCTATTGTTTTATTTTTATTATTTATTATAGTTTTATCATGTTTTTTTTATTTATTTATATTTTTCTTATTTCATTTTTATCATATATGATGAATAAAAAGTACTTGTTTCTTTTTCCCTGATTGTCCTTCAAGTGAAGATATATGAATAATCTCGGTAAAAATCACCACGGAAGGTTATCTATGTATAAATAATATATGAATGGAAATGTTATTATTGTCACTGATTTCTTCCCGCAGGGCTCAGGGGAGGACCGAGCGGCCTCGCTGTAATAATATGGCTTTGATAGAGCCGGTGGAAGAGAAAACCATAACCACCAATTCCGTAGGTGACCGCAGCCCCTCCCCCCCCCAGCCCCCGCAATGCCGCCTCGTGTTGTGTACATTACCGCCGTGACCTAAATGGCTCGGTGAACATGCGATTCTTAGCGGAAAGCCGACAGCTCGGCTTGTATTCCTCGGAGAAGATAAACTTCAAGACGGATTTGCTTGTGAAGGAGGAGACGTCGCCGGAGAGAGAGAGGGGAGGAAGTCAGACCTCTTGTGCGGCACAATGTATCTTTTAGCCCGGGGCGGTATTGTCTTCTGGGCGCCATCTTTTATTCATGGCCGTGCATGTTTCATGTGTTCCTTTTAGCAGTACACGTCTTACCTTATTATGGCAGAGTTTACTTAGAACGTTGTTTTTTTTCTCCGTACTTGTGACTGACGGTGCTTCTCCGTACTTGTGACTGACGTTCTGGAGGTATCACGTACAAATAACATTGTTTCATTTATTGATAAGTATATTCTTCCTCTTGTATGTCCTAACGTGAACCCTTCACTAACTTTACAAGTCTGTGCAAATAAATTCCCGATGTGTCACGATCAGTGGCGTAACAATCACCATAGCAACCCAGGCGGTTGCTATGGGGCCCGGGGCACAGTGGGGCCCGGCTAGATGCCGCCTGGGTCGCTATGGGATCTTCTGCTGCTGGCTTTCACTGGCGTCTGAAGACGAACACGCCGCTGTTCAGATCATCTGTGCAGCGGCGCGTTCGTCTCCACAGTCAATTAGAGTCAGCAGCGGCGGGGGAGCAGGCTGGACCCGGTGTTCTATCAACGTCGCGAGCCTCTGACGTCACCGGCAGTGGAGGAGGAGGTGGGCCCGTGCTCGGCAGCAGGGGAGGAGACGGGCCTCGGTGGCAAGAAGGAGGCGGGCCCGGCGACGGAGGAGGTAAGGAGTGCGACCAGCCCACCTGAGGGTGACCTTGCAGAGCCCACCATAGAGAGTCTATGGTGGGCTCTGCAGGGTCACCCTCAGGTGGGATCTCAAGTAGGCTCTGCAAGGGGTATAAATAGAAATCAAGGGGCCCCATCCAAAATTTTGCTATGGGGCCCTGTGATTTCTAGTTACGCCCCCTGGTCACGATGTACAGCCACATACAATATATGTTAGGTCCGAGGTGTGGGCCCGAGGTGATGAGGAGGACCTCCCTTGCAACCCCGTCTGATGACCACTGGGGTTGAAGACAGTGTGCTCAGGCAGGGGGTGCACGGATGCCGGATCAGGATACCGGGTACTTGCGGCAGGTGGTGGCTCAGCAGAGTAGGCAGCCGTGCGGAGAAGGTACTGGAGTCCAGTGGGGAAGTTAGGAGACAAGCCAGGTCGGTAACAAGCGGGCAACGAGGTACAAGGCCGGATCCAATGGAGAGTCTAGAGGAAGGCCAGGTCGGTAACAGGCGGGCAGCAAGATACGGCGGGCAGCAAGATACAGCAGGATAACCCAGGTGGAACGTCAGGGAGGAAGACAGGTAACAAGATCAATCACAGGAGCAAGACAACAACGACTGGTACTGGCTGAAATCACTCAGCACTGAATCCAAGTCCTGTGGAGCTTTATATAGGCTGAGGACGTCGCAATGTGCGGGGTGCTTCCCGCCGGGTCACAGGGCGTCTGTGCCTGTGCGGCCTAGAGGTGCCGACGGAATGCTCCCTCCGTGTGCATCCCCGCACAGAGGCTCGGATCTGGACGCGGCATGTCCCACGGAACGGAACCCGACATGGCCGACCTGTCACTCGGACCGGGACCCGACACTATATTACCACAAGTATTGGGCCCCTCCCCCTCCAAATAATTGGTTTCGGTTGTTCCGTGACATTTCCTGGCTACTAAATATTCCGCGGTCGCCTGTTACTGGAAAAAGAGCATGTGCATCCCCATCCATGTTGTTTGGAGAGAATCACGAGGAAAGGTGACACGCAGGTCACGCGGGGGCAGAAATAATCTTCGTTCTAATACTTTCAAAACTAGAAATCATAGATTAAATCTAAAGTAAAGGAACAAAAGTAGAGAACAAGAAAGTAAGGTCAGGACGGGGGGAGAGGTCAAGACGGGGGGAGAGTTAAGAATGACACACATGTAGCCAGGTAGAAAACAGACCAGAAAGAAGGCTTACAGAAGAGCAAGAAGTAGAAGACGTTGAGGCAGAAGAGGTGAACAAAGGTTGGGTTACCCCTCCAACACAGCATCTGTTGTAGGCGGTCCGGGGTTTGCCACTGGGGGGGTCGCATCCAGACTCAGCCCGTGGAGCCAACAACGTTTCCTGGAAAAAGGTCTTTGAGTATTGGAAGGCTATCCATGGGCTCCAAGTGGACCTGAACTTCCCCTCTGTATTTTTAAGGGTGGAGGAGAAGTCCTCCATGCGATCTATTTTGTTGACTTTAGCAATCCACATACAAAGGGAGAGGGGAGTCGTGCGGTTCCATTGCAAGTGCAGGGCCAGGGATGATTTTTTAGCAACTGACAGAGCAATCTGAAAGGTGTAGCAAGCATGGCACTGGATTATTTTTCATGGTCGTCATGGTCTCCGGGACCTGATTCCAAAAGGGGGATATCCAGGGCCAGATTTGCTCTCCCTGCTGCCCCAGGGCCAGGTTCCTCAATGCGCCCCTCCCCCCCCCCCCCCCTCCCGCAATGGAGAATGGCAGACCTGCAGGCTGCATACAAGTGATCTCGGCGACATCGCCAAGATCACTTGTACAAAACAAAAGAAAAAAAAATTACATAAAGTAAAAAATAATAAGACAAAAAAATTATAAAAAAAAAAGCAAAAGATGATAAGATAAATAAACATTTTAAAAAATATATAACAATTAAAAAAATGAAAAAGTGATTAAAAAAGTTTATTAAAAATTAAAACTACCCCT